CAACTAAAAATAAAAATATTCCTTAAGTTTAGTACTTGGTTGTGTTGCCTTTATTGGCAATTACGGCTGCACAACGCCGAGTCATGGAATCAACCAGGTCCTGGCATCGTTTGAGGGGAATCTTAGCCCATGACTCTTGAATGACTTCCCAAAGCATCTTTTCATTAGTTGGATTAGATTCAGAAACTATTTTTTTAACATCCGCCCACAAGTTTTCGATTGGATTTAGGTCCGGCGACTGCGCAGGCCACTCCATAACGTTAACTGAATTATCCTGAAACCATTTCTTCGCTTTCTTACTGGTGTGTTTGGGGTCATTGTCTTGCTGGAAGACCCATTTTAGTGGCATATTGTACTCCGCGTAGGGCAGCATCACATTTTGTAATATATCAACATAAACATGTCGGTCCATTATGGTTTTGATCCAGTGAATTGGGCCTATGCCATAGTACGAAAAGCAACCCCATACCATTACACTTGATCCGCCATGTTTAATTGTTTTTGTTGTATAGCTAGGGTTGAATTCTGCCCTCTGTGGTCGTCTTACGTAGGTCCGTAATCCTTTTCCACCAAACATGACCACCTTACTTTCATCAGTCCAAAGGATGTTTCTCCATTGCTGCTTAGACCAATTTTTGTGTTCCTTTGCGAACGCCATCCGTTTGGATATGTGTTTTATATTCAAATATGGTACTTTTCTTGGACGACGAGCATTCAGACCCTGATATCTTAAATATTTACGTACTGTTTGGTNTCTATTTCCATTCATAAAACAGAATTCATATAATAATTAATATAAATATTAACAGCTATATAATAATACTATATTTAATTCATTAATATTTCCATATGCCTTCACCTTGAACTATCCATTATTACTTTCTCCTTTCACTTTCGAAAACTATATTATATACCCAATTGTTCGCCCTATAATAAAATAAACGCAGTATATAAACACTTGATTTGTTCTTTTATGCTTTTGTATAAACAAAAAGCTTTATGCATATATAAATGTTTATACATACAATAAATAAAAACAAAATAAAAAGCTAACAAAGGCATTTTGATTAATGTGCCACACACACATACTTACACACTCGCCAAGGGGACTGATAATGACTTTTTAAATACACTTCTAATGCGCTAAAAGGGGGCAATCGACGTCGCTGACAAAGGAAGGCGCGACCAGGTGAGAAAAACTCACCGATCAAGGGCTATGAAAAATAAATACATAATGCAACAAAAAATTGCCTATTGAATAGTAATTTGCATTTTATAAGCTACTGCGACAGGAACGAGTACAAAAAAAATGATGACATTAGAGGACACCGAATCAGGCACGCCCCGAGGGCTTGACAAATAAAAAAAAAAAAAAAAATCAACGATTTATGCGTTTTTGATGATTGCAAAACTATGGAAATTATGTGATAAGCTTGTCGTAGAATCACCCTACCTATCTCCCTCTCTCTCCCTCCCGCTCTGCTGTCTACACAGCTTATGCAAAGTACTTTTGTGTTCGAAGACAAGCGTCGCTTCCAGAGATCCAGTTGTGCTATTGAGTCTATGGAAAAATAAGAAGAGAAGAGGCGAGAAAATGCAAAATCATTTGCCTGGCCCTTTGCACGTGCGGCGCTCGATAAATGCAAGCTCTTTGTATAAAGATCGTTTCTTGCTGTCGTATTTGCAATCATTGTGCGATCATTTATGGGCTGAACAGAGCGCGTTTTGTCTCTTGTCATCAGTCGCACAACTGCTTAATATTCATGCTGCGCATAAGACCCTTGCGATGATTAGACAACATTTAACACTTGGCCTGTGGACTAGGGTATGGGCTATGGGCTATGGGCTATGGGCTCTGGGGTCTAGGGTATGGGGTGTGCTCTGCCCGAGAGGGTTTTTGCTTCTTCTTCAAGTTTGTCGTAATCAGTTGTCATGAGGCTGCAGTTGGTGTTGGTCTCAGCCGGTAACGGTCTTTTGAGTTAACAAGCTTAGGCCAGGGCATCTTCTGAGTCATGAATCAAGGTGAAAATTGTTTTTTAACAAATGAGAAGTCGTTGCAATCGGGTGTAATGGTTTCTAAAATACTCGTTCAGTTTCAGCATTTAATATGATATTAATATATTACGATTTGACCAGGGAGAAGTAAATATCAGAGTTTGGTTTGTGGAAGAGATTTGTTATAGTTAAAATTGTCAACATAGGAACTAAGACTTTGGGCTATGGACTGAGTGCACTATTATTTTCTTGATCATAGTTCTATATGTTATATTTAATAAAGTTATGTTCAAGAAAATCGTAAAATGAATTTCAAACAAAAACATTTTAAAGAACAAAATATTTTTAAAAAATATTCCTTACAAACATGACTTGGAAGAGAACAATTTTAAAAATTAATTTAAAGAAAAAAAATTTTATTAACAAAAGTTGTGAAA